GTCTCTGGGCCACGGCCCCACCGCCCGGCCCCCCTCGCCCGCCACGGCGGGCCACGCCGCCCGACGGCCGCCCCCGATCTGACCAAGACCAAGCCCCACGTGGGCGCTATTTGCCTTCTGTGACCCTCCGCCAACACCGCCTCCGCTTCCTCCTCCCTTTCGTCTTGGCGGGCTCCGCGCAGGGCAGCTCAGTCTTGGCACCTCTCGCGGGCTCTGCCCTCCAGTCATGCTCGCAGCAGTAGGGCCGCCCATCCTGGGTCGAGCTGAAGGCTGTCCCGTCCTGGTGTTCCTTGCAAAACGAATTGGGGCAAAAGTGGCAAAACGAAGTAGAAGGTTTGCCGCACACGTCACAGTGATGCCACGGACATTCCCACTTCCCTGCAACGAAACAAAGGATCACCAGACAGAAGTGATGGAACCACAACAACTTTTAACATCTTCGTGCTTGGAAACCAATTTTAAAACTTAGTTTAGTCAGATGAATACAGACCAACCCCAGGCAGCTGCCAAAGCCAGGAGGAGCAGAGGCAGGCGCTCAGGCACCGGCGCCGCACGTGTCCTGGGGCAGCTGCTCTTCCTGGCTGCCTGTGTCCGGTCTGATCACACTCACGCAAGAGTTTCTACCTTTGTCTGTTAACCCAGTTTTGTCATCTTTTGCCATAAAAAGCATTTTTGTTTTACAGTCAAACGTGCTTGGCCTGTCTTTTTATAGTTCTTGGGTCCCCTGCTTGGTAAGGGCCTCCACTCTCCTGCCGAGATGACAGTTGGCACCGATGCCCGGGGCCCGCCCGCCCGTGCCCGCCCGCACGCACCAAAGGGCCGCTTGCCCAGGCCCAGGCAGGCCAGGTGGTAGGCCTTGGTGCAGGACTTGCGGTCACACAGCACCAGCTGGCCACCGTCGCCGCAGCGGAAGCACTCGTCCTCCGACTTCTTCCCTTCGCCTCTCGTGCGCCGCCGCCTGGTTTTCTTCTTAGTCTTTTTGCCCTTTTCCTCTGAAGAAAGGGCTGCTGAGGCCTGCAGTGAAGAGGCAAATGCGTGCACTCAGCCGCACGGACGAAGCAGACGGGAGGGGACGAGGCCAGGGTACGGTCGGGGCTGCGGGAGCCCCAGGGAAAGGCACGAGCTGAGCACAGAACAAAGCGGCAGGGCCGCCCAACGACGCCTCCTCCCGTCCGAGACCGGCTCTGGGCTTGGGTGCCTGCGGCTGTCCAGAGACTTCAGGCCCAAGTCCAGCAGCACAGAGAGGGAGGAAGCGTCCCCCCATCCAGGTCCTTCCAGGAACCTCTGAATGTGGGACAGGGTTGTCGCAGGCGTGACAGTTGGGATCGGGGCACGCTGGATGGGAGCGA